TTATACAAAGGGCAACTCTGGAGGAAATTATGCACTGATGCTTTAAGAGCTTGGCACTGGGAGAATCTCCATCTTGTTTCTGGGGTCGTCTGGAATTCTTCGTGTTTCTCAGCCCTGCTGCCGAGTGTTTTGCACCATCTGCGCATGGAGGGTGTGAATGGGAACGTTGCTGCTCTTTTATTCAGGTCACTGTTGCTTCCACCTTGCAGATTCAGATGCAGTCTGTGGTAGTTACAGTATCTGTTTCTCCTGGTATTTTCCTGTATTTGTGGGAATCTTGTTAAATCTGTGTTATATGCTTCCTTGAGGTGTAACATTTCCTTCCTGTGCGGTTTAATTTATCATCTGAAACAGGCTAAGTCTGACAGGTCTACCTTAAATTGTTCACTCTAAATTTAGCAGCTAGAGACGGAACGATCAGGAAGGGCTAAATTAATGTTATGTCAAAAGGGCCTTGGGACAAGGAAAGGAAAAAAGCCAATTTGGAACAGAGGGTCCCCTTTAATAACTCTTGGTTCAGAACAGAATTTAGAGGAACGTTTTTTTCCAAAGGAGAAGTTTGAAATGAGCCTTTTAGGTAACTAGAGAATAGTATGTTTCATTATCATTTATGATCTAACCAACTGTCACTTTGAATAACTGGCTGAGGGTTGAAGTGGCAAGTTGATAAATTCTAGCCTTGCAGAACATATCTTCTTACAACTACATTTTTATGGGTATTTTACAGTGATCTACATATGATCTGTTGGGCACTTATTTTAATGGAGTAAAAACTGCTTGGGAACTCTTCCCGAGTTTTTTCTACTTGCTTTGCACAATAGCAAAGGAAACAATGCCAGATTAGTTGTAGTATTTCCTCGGGGAGATTTCTTGTGTGTTGTGAATCTACCCTGTAAGGCACTAAGATGTTAAATTCAGTTAGTCATTTTTATGGTAACTTATTTGGAGCTAACGTTAAGGAGATGCTCAAATAGTACAAAATATATGAAATAAAAGGGAATTAATGTTCCTTCTTAGTTTTTATAGCTTTTACCTCTTGAAAATTTTCCTTGTCTTGTTCAAAGTAGTCTACGATTAAAAACAAAAACAAACCCCCCCCAAAAACAGAGCTCTAGGATATTATTTTAGGGAGTGAGGGTTTGTTGGTTTTTTAGTTACCTTTCATCTTTTTCTCCTCCACCCGTCACTTTTTAAGTGAAGTGTACTATTTTCTATGGCTTCACCAACTTCATACTGTGGATAGGGCAGTTTAAAAAAAAAAAAAAAATCCTACCGTGAAGCTGCATTGTGGAACTTGTGGGCTCGTTTTAGGCGTCCTGTTTGTGTTTCTCGATTCCCCCAGTTCCCAGATGTGCAGTGACTCATCCCCTGAACAATGGGAACAGCATCTCTCATTCCTCCTCTTGGTCCCAGTTGGCAAAACTGTTACTCAGAGGATATATACTGCAGAGGGAGAAGAGATTAGCAGTGAGAGAATGAATCATCTGAGCATTTGTGGTAACTCTTGTGTGGTAAGCAAGAAGTTAAGGAAGACGTACAGTCCACGCTATGCTCTTGTGTACTAAAAAGGAGTATCCGAATTATGTAAAACTCATAACTCAGAGGTTACTCTTCCCTCCCCCAGCGCTGTCCCAGACAATACGGGACATAGATGGCAGGCAGCATTTTGACAGCTTGATTTATACTCAAGGAAAAAATAGCTAGCTGGTTTGCATCAACAGCAAAATAGATAATGGTCATTCTGCTTGTGATTTGTTGATGCGATGTTTGAATGTAAAATGTTCTGATCGAGCATCAGTTTAAAAAAAAAAAAAAAAGAAGAAGAAAACATCCCAGTACAGACATGCTTCAACTCACTGGAGCTATCTGCTGTAACTGCTAGGAAATGGTGCTTCAGATCTAAATATAGTGCCAGATGAGATGCAGTGAAGTCTTTCAGTTTCTAAATATTATTTATGAATATTGTCAAAATATTTAAAAATGGAAATAGTTTTCCAAGAGTGAAATACAGGAAGGATCCTTCTTAAATCTGAAAAGCCAGAAGCTGGACAACCTTCTGTGAACATGGCTGATTTTAGGGAAATTCGATTGCATTCAAGTGCAACTTGGTATGCATCTAAATAAACCTCAATTTTAAATCTAATTAATATTGCTATCTATTTCCTATAGTTTAAAATGAAAAAACTCAAGTTTAATGAATGTTTGGCTAATATAGTTGTTCTAAATAAAAGTACTAATACTAAACAGTCCTAACACCTGGAGTCTCCTTTTCCTCATTTAAATAAATCACATGTTACTAATCAAGCTGTTGGTGTTGTCTGCGATTGTTCCTTGACACCTGCTTGATAAACCTGAATACCCCAAGAGCACCCCAGCTTCTCAAAAGCGGGCAATTTTTCTGTGGATCAGACTGTAGAGCAAGGTTACACAGGACATCTTTGGAGCAGGAACAGAATCCGCAGTACTGTATTCCTGTGTTACGGCCTTTATCAGAGGATTGTCTTTGAAGTGTGGCGGGTGGGGGTTGGTTTTATTTTATTTTTTTTCTTAAAGTTTGTGTGCTTTAATGTTTTGAGCTGTTCTTAACTCTGAACCCTCTGGAGCTCATGGGGCTTTTGGTTTTTTGACTGGAAACAGATATTTTAAGTACTAGATATCGTTCAGTTCTGTGCTGGAGGAGAACATTCAGGCATCTTCAGATCTGTCAGTTCCTGCGTACGCTGTTCACACCTGTTCCAGCAATGCGACTTGGTTACCCTGCTGTGCAAGTGTTTCGCAAATACTGTTTAAAATTTCCTTAAATGAGTTGTTTGGCTTAATTACACAATTTTTAAGAGCTTTGTAGGAAACTAAGCCTATCTGTTTTCCGTAAATCACTGAAGAAATGAGCATATATTTCACATTGATGAAATTCTTTTCTTACTTTATTATAAGTGTGCAAAATGTCAGAATGATTGGTGTGCAAGGCAGGAAATAGGGGAGGTGTAAGCCATAAATCAGGTGAAGTTGCTTGTGTATCGCAGCCGTTTACATGCATACAGCTGTTTCCTCTTCCGAGCGTGGGAGGTATACAGAGAAGGCAATGACTCTTAAAGCAACTCAGTGGAAGAAAAGAACAAGTTGCATCAGAGACAACCCATATGCAGTCATGTCGCACATCTAAAGGCATCGTCTAGGACAAAACAAAACACAATAGATAGGTGCTTTTTTTTTTTTTAATTTAAATGATCTTTTCCTCTTGGGCTCTCCCATCTCCTAAATATGACTAATGCTGTACAGGAAGACCTTTCTTCTTATTCATGTGGTCTGTGATATCTCTTCTGATCCAACAGAGTGCCAAAAAATACAGGAAATTACTTTCACCTTATGAAAATTCATGATTGTAAGGAAGCTCTTAGAGCAATTGTTCTTTGGAACCTTCTCCCCTCCCCAGAAAGTCTTTTTTTTTTTTTTTTTTTTTTCTCCTACCAGCGATCCACTGTAAATCTTTTGTGATATATGGTAGCTCTTTGTAAAGACGCAAGTTTGGGCTCCTTTCTGAAAAGACACTTCTAGTTTTACACATTAGGAAATAACAAGTTACAGCTCCTTTGTGTCTATGCCTTAGGCTGAAGGTGTGTACTTGTGCAGTACACTGGCTCCTCTGATCTCCAGTCTGATTCTTTAGGAAAGTGCCAACACAATAGTTCATTTTGAAGTTGCACCGGAATTGAATAGTTTAGTTTTGCCATCTCAAGACTATGGTATGGAGGAGGACGTATAGTTTGAGGATTGCCATTGCTTTTGGAGTCTATGAGACGATATTTTAAGAATATTCTCATTCTGAATTAGGAACGTGCTGAGGGCACCTGCTGTCAATTTGGTCATTACTGGCTTGGCCCTTTGTTGACTGGAAATATAAGAGGAAGAGCTTTTTCTTGTATCTTTTCTATGAGGCAGTTGCAACTGCAAGACCAGTGTCCTAAACAATGAAGAATGCTTTCTAACTTAACAGATCAACTTCATCTAAAGAAATTAAATGAAAATGTTTGGAGGAGAATGGACTTTTGCCAGGGACAGTTTGATTCCAAAAGGAAAGTTAAAGTCTTCCTCTGCATGGAAACAGTTTTATTACTTTTCAGAAGTATGTGCAGGCTTCCTAGTATCTGCTAATGTAAAACAGCACTTGTTTTGAGTGCAATGTAAAAGCAACCATATTGAAAAAAAACTGTTATCCATTTTCGCACAAGAATGAATTTTCTTTATATTACTTACATTCTTTTCAATATAACTGCTAAAGGATCTACAATCTCAGCAAATCTGTTGAGCCTAAAATATAAACTGTGCTTAAAAGAGAAAGTCCTTCAGAATATTTCTGAGGGAGTTTCAAGTTTGGGGTGCCTTTTGGTTTTTCAGTTTTTTGTTTGCTTTTGTTTTTGGACAAACAAGTCTCACTTACACAGCTTGTCATTATAGTGACAATTTATGACTTAAGTCTTTCACTTTTCTGCAGATATGCCAGCCAGTCTAGGATGTGCTTTTCTTCATTGTCAGGAATTTTAAAACAAAATATATTGGCTTCTAATTAATACATTTCATTTTTACTCTTGCTTAGTGTGAATTAACTAATTCTTTAAGCCAAAGCAAAGAACTGGCTTTAATAACAATTTATTTTCATTGTAAAGATTCCTTAGGTAACTTTGAGCATCTTTTCAGGACTCTAATCAAAACTTTGATATTTCTTGAAATAATAGCATTTCTTCTGAAACCAATTCTCTATCTCCTCTACTCTTCTGTAGTATATTGTAGCTGCTCTACTTAGTTCCAATGGTTAATGTGAACTCAGCTGTCTAGTACTTTTATTATTACAGTTCCTTAAGCATATGAGGATGCTGTCGAAACTTCGATTTCTGAGATTTCTATGTTAGACTTCAGTGCACGTTGGAAGGTGAAAACGCTATAATTCAATTTAAATTGCTGTCCTAGAAATAAGTTGTTTCCATCTCTTTCTTTTTCCACAGGGTGAATCGGTGAAATACTTCCTGGATAATCTGGATCGGATCGGTCAACTGGTAAGACAGAACTTCTTTCTGGACCAGAAGAGCTCAAGGACATAAGACTTTAATCGTAGCCCATCCAGGCTAGCCTTTTTTAAAAAACTTGCATTGAAATAACTGCATCAAAATACTTTACTCTAGAAATAGTGAACTCCAAATTTACCAAATTTATGAAACTGAAAACTAGTATTTTCTTTTTTTTTTTGACAGACAGCAGATACTAAGTTTGTGAAAGCTGTATTTATGCATGTTTTCTTCTTTTGTCAGTCCTTCTGTGCAGTCTCAGGATCTCCTTCACTTTGCATGATGACCTGCTGGCTGCTGCTACTTAAGGTAGCAGAATGAAACCTTACCAAAAAAAAAAAAAAATCACTTTTAAGATTCAAAATCAGTAATGAGAATGGCTATGTCAGGAGACTTAGAGGAGAAAGCAAGGGAAATAATCTTCCTAAAAAATAACAGCAATAAGCTTCTAAACAACTAATTGCTTTATAGTGGTGAACTGGGCCACCACCTGCAGTAGAACATGTTATATTTAATGGTCATGAAGTGTGAACTTGGAAGAAGTGTTTCGACTAAAGGTTGCATGATATGCTTTGTACAAACAGGTGAATTCTAAAAAATTTCAAAAACATTATGCAGTAATGACTTGGAGATCTGCTTTACTGAACACTACCTACATGGCAATAACATTGCGGGCAAGAATTTCATAATGATAAAATAAACTTCAGCATGAAAATGGGAGGCTTGAAGGATAAAAATGTGGACATTTGTCCTGTATCTTTTTTTCCTCGTATGTCTCAGAATCTTCTGGTAGCTGTTTACCATTATTTTGAAATTGAGTATTCATTCTTCACCAGATATAGTTCAAGTCCCTCATGCAGTGAGTTCCTAAAAAGGCTCCTGATTTTTTTTCCATCACTGTGATACTGTTTTTTCTTTTTTTTTCTTTTTCCCAAATGATCAATAGACATTTGACACTCCTCTTCTTTCTTTTGCAGAATTATTTCCCCAGCAAACAAGATATTTTACTGGCTAGGAAAGCCACCAAAGGGATAGTAGAGCATGATTTCATCATTAAAAAAATACCTTTCAAGATGGTGGATGTAGGTGGACAGAGATCTCAGCGTCAGAAGTGGTTCCAGTGCTTTGATGGAATAACTTCAATTCTGTTCATGGTCTCCTCCAGTGAATATGATCAGGTTCTCATGGAAGACAGGCGCACAAACAGACTTGTGGAGTCCATGAATATTTTTGAGACAATAGTCAATAACAAGCTTTTCTTTAATGTTTCTATTATCCTATTCCTCAACAAGATGGATCTTCTTGTAGAGAAGGTGAAGACTGTCAGCATTAAGAAGTATTTCTCGGACTTTAAGGGTGACCCTCACAGGCTAGATGATGTCCAGCGTTATCTGGTGCAGTGCTTTGACAGAAAGAGGAGAAACCGTAGTAAGCCGCTCTTCAATCACTTCACCACTGCCATAGACACTGAAAACATCCGCTTTGTGTTTCATGCCGTGAAGGACACAATCCTTCAAGAGAATCTGAAGGATATTATGTTGCAGTGAAGGAGAGCAGCCCATACTCTGTTAAAATTTGCCGCAGGGTTAGATCAAAGTTTTTATTCTTTCTTTATGGCCCTTGCATGTGGTGTAGGACCCATGCTATTTGCTTGGCTCAGGAATGCTGTAAACTAGCCAGCCCAAACAGAGGGGCTACAGGCCGAAGGAGTCAAATGTTGATGTTAGCTACTGAATCATTTGGACTAGAAACACTACTGAAACATGGCCATTGTAGGTGTTCTGTACCTAGTTTGGAGTACTGAATAACATAACCACCTTCTACCTTCTTAGAAATTTTTGTTTTCTCTGACAAACCTTTTAAGGAAGACACTTTGTTTTAAATGAATATGTTTATTTTTCAGAGACACTAGTCATAAAAACTGCCTTTTTTGTAGTTTGAAGGTGCTGAATTAATCCAACTAATCTAAAACATAACAAGATTGGTAGCTGCATTGGAGAATGTTAACAAAGTTGCATTCTTAACCATTAGGTATATAATCAGACCTTATGTGCGTTTTCAATTCTGCCAAGGATCTGGAGTCCACTTTGCAAGGTGGATGCACAGCTTTTGTCTGAAGGCTTTGCATGAGTCTCCTGAAGCAAAAGTCTGAGACAGTCTCTGTAAAGGAAACCCATGTTGGAGTAAATTGGATGGGAGATCTAAGACCTGGCCGATACGGAGAAGGGTTTATTTTGCACTATGTGTGAAGGGTATTATATCATGGGGAAACAAACTTCCGTGGTAAAGCAGCCTGTGCTGGAGCATCTGACCATCTCTCCGCACAGCGGGTACTGTAGTGAGATGTACTTCATGGCAATCCAGTGCTGCTTTCACACCTGCAGTTGGCAGCATTTCTGAAGGTTTAGTATCTCACATGACAGGGCTTTGTCTGTATTCAAAAGTATGAAAGCTGATAAAACTCTTAAGCAAAGGTTTTGGTAGTGCAGCAGCTGCTTGATTAGTTCCCAACAGCTGACCTTATAGGAAGACTGAACACTCTAGAGATCCCAGTTTTACAACTGCACTGATGTATTTGGACAGCAGGACCTTGCTGTAAAATTAGCCCTTAATCTGTGTCGTAGTGGGATCTTTAGCCTGTATTAATGCACCTGTAATTATGAGTACAGTCAAGTCAAAAGTTGCCCGTTTCAGGCAATGGCTTGTGTGTAAAATTGCAAGAGGTTATGAATAATGTTATTATATGAACTGTTAGTTTCCTAGCTTTCTCAACTCGCCTAACTATCTATCTATCGGGTGCCTTTCTGTGTCCAGATATATCTGATCTTTTCTATTACAGCGGTGTACATGGACAAACTTAAGATCTGCCTTTTATCTCAACATTGTAGTGCTATCTTTTAGGTAATTTTTAAACATAGTTTACTGTGCAATTTGTGTCATAGTTTTATCCAAGAATAAAATCTGAAGGGCTGTTTATATCCATACAAAGTCAGCAGGATCCCTGGAGTTCTTATCCACTTTGAGACTGTAATGGCATGTCAAAACAAGCAACATTGTACTTCAGCTGGTAATCCCATGGGAGATGTGGTCTAAAAAAATCCTATTCTGTTGTCCTTTCATATTAATTTGGATAAAATCTGGAATCTTTTTTTCTCTGAAGTTTGCAGATGTTCATATTGGTGTATAGTTTCCTAATGTAGCAATCTATTGGTTTTCTTTGTGCAGACTTCTGAGTGAAAAAGATGTGGCTATTTTGTAGTCTTATATAACGCACACAGTACTGAGGTCATAAGCAAGTGAAAAGTTGCAGACAGAAAAATCTAATTTAAATTTAAAACTTCCATTGCTTAACGAACTTAAACAGGAATTAGCTTCCTTGTAAGAAGTCTTATTTTTGCCAGGACCAAGTCTGTCTTTTTAATGTTTATTCATTTTTAACCGTGAAGGGAAAATGTCATGTGACTCTTCAGGTGGAGGAAAATCTTAAGATTATTACATTTGAAAAGGTAAATGTTTCAGCCTAAATTGATGCAAATAACAGTTCAGTCATTGTAGAGGGTCATGTCTCTAAGCTAGCCCATGTGCTTGACTCAAGACTAAAATATTGTTCCAATACTTTCAGATATTCTTGGAGTTCTGGTAGCGACCTCCACTTCACGCAGGACTCTGGGACTTGACTTTATTTCCTAGTTTGCTGTGAGTTTTATTGTTTCACTAAGTTTTCCAGATGGGCTAATATGCTTGTTTTCTCAAATGAGTTAAACATTCCCTTTCAACTGTATCTTTCTAAAGTTACCTCAGTTTTATGTCTGCATCTACTGCGGTATTACCTGGGAGGCATAGCATGGAATTTCCTGTCTTGTTTTTTTTTCCTTCATGGTCATCTATGGTTTTGTATCCTTAGTCACCTTATGGATTTAAAACTAAGAGCTAATAATGCAATGTATATTTATCTCAGTAACTTAATCTGTTGCACCTGCAAAAAAAAAAAAAAACCAGCATGAGATGTCTTTTATTGAGCTGTCAAACTTGCTAGTAAGTTTTTTTATATGGTATGGCAATTTTGCACAATAAATCAGGATTTTAGGGAACCCGTTTGATCACCTCAGTCCCACTATATCACCTTTCTTCTTTCTGTTGATAAAATGGACCTCAGCACAATGCTCTAGACTGCAGATGGAAATCAGTAGTTTTGGCTCTGTAGAATCTGGCTTTTGTAGGCTCTGTCTCCCGTCTAACTTTGGTTTGGTCTTAGTGGTTCACACCAAGAACTCAAGATCAAGAAAATCTTTTTGCACAGGTCACTTCTCATGTTTGCAGTGGATCTGGCCGGTGACTGCTTGAGGGAGAAGGATTTTTTGTAAGTGGCAGGTATGTTTCTTCTGCTGTTAACTACAGGATCTCCTTCTTGCCACAGCCGAGATCTTGGGTGTTTTTGTTGTTGTTCTGTTTTCCCAAGGTAAGTTGTAGTATGAGAAAGCCAGAAATTCATATGATGGTAATTCAGCTAATTACTAAAGCAGAACTTAGGTAGCTTAGGTTGTACAAACATCTCAGGACAGACTTGATCCATTGCTCGGTCCTTTCGCAAGAAGCAACTGGTGACTTTATTTTAAGTGACATCCTGGAGAACTTTGCAGGTAAACACAGCTGGAGAGAACATCTTTTTTTTTGTTAACTTTATAGGGTTATTGTTCATTTGGCTAGTCAGGAAATGGGTCACAAGCAGGATAATAATCAGATGGAAGCCTTGAACAACTACTTTTAAAAAAGGCCTTTTTCTGTCCCTGCTCTGATACCCGTGGGTCAGTAGTGGGGGTGTTCCAAATGTGTTGTCTCTTGCAAGGACAAAGGGAGGAAGTGCTTGCAGCATGTGCATGCAGGAGACATTTATGCAATCTTGCAATTTAAAAAGAATAGCTATTGGGAGTCTTTTATCAAACACTACTTTGTATTTAGTGTCCTGAAAACAGGACTGTAAACTTCCATTTAAAGTACCATTCCTAGTGGATTGGAATTAAAAATGAAGAATAGTTTTTGGCAGGAATATTTTGTATAAATTGCATATTTAATAGGAAATTGTCACTTTAAAGAAATTATATAGTTTTAATGTTGAAGATATTAAAATTATGGAACTGAAATTATTGGCTGCTCAACTTTACAACTCATGAAGATGTATTTAGTTTGACACCAAGTATTGGTTTTATTTCATCCAATACAGCAACATAGATTATTTGACTTGGTGATTTGATAGATATATTTAGGTTTTAAAAGTGCTGCAGTGAAACCTAGAACTAGGCGTGATACAAGCATGAAAGAGCTCCTGAAGATGACTGTTTTTGCAGGCTTTCAGAGCTAACTAAAACGTGAACTTCAGCCAAGCAGGCATAGTGGAGAAATGTATATTAATTGCAAGACGCTGTAGTGAAATGGTGTAGGAAGAGCTCATCTATATGTGGCACTGCAGACCAAAATTTCATTCTACTAGGATAACTGAAGTAGTTTTTAGTGTGAAAAGCAGTCCATTTGGAGCACTTCCTCCCCACTTCCCCGTAGGTATTCAGTAGTTCTGATTATTGTAATCAGCAAAGAATTCTAGAGTTAAAAAACAAAAATCAAAGGAGTAGACATGGAAGCACTGAAGAAACTAGCAGCTTTTTTAATAACAGACAATTGTCTTCCACTGAATATCATTTTTATTAAACGTGCCCTTTGCCTTCTTTAGGTGGATGTCTTTCCGGATGTTCATTTCCACATTTTGACATCTTTTCTATGTATGTACCTATTCAGTTTTCCTGGAAAAAAAATGAAATTCTGCTGCAGAGAACTGTAGACATTCTGTAAAAGGCCCCTAGGGTTTTCAGATAGTGAGTTTTGACACCTGACTTGGCTT